ACTTTAAAGAGTCTCAGCTCAGTTTCCAGCCGAGAGTGTTTAAAGTTTCAGGAGATGAGAGAAAGGAGTGGGTCCTGGAGACAGCTGGGTTCTCTTTCTTCCCTTGTGCCTCCATGCCTGGCTGGACCACCTGGAGCCAGAGCTCTGGGTACCCTGACCCTGAAGACTCAGCTCTCTGGAGGTCTGGGAGCTAGGCTGGACCCCTCTAGAGTATTCCCACAGGCCTGGGTGCCAGGTTGCCAACAAGCATAGATGGGAATAGAACCGGATCATGGCCCAGACCCCTTACCTGGGCAGAAGATTATCCTCTGACTACAGGTGGAGGGACACAGCTCAGAGTAGGTGTTAGGTTGGCCGCGTCCCCAACCCTCTGTGTCCTTTATGTCCTTTCCTAACATTCTTAGGTTGGTGTAGATGCCGTAGGTACCTAATGGGGATGGAGAGTCTTTTGTCACCTGCCATTAAATGGAGCCTAGGGCCAGTGGTTCAGGGTAGCTGGAGCTGTTCTCTAGGGCTTTATTTATTTATTATATTTTGCACATGTGTGTGCACATTTGCACGCACAAGGCAAGGGGTATGGAGGTCAGTGGACAGCTTGCTGAAGTTGGTTCTCTCCTTCCACCATGCAGATCCCAGAGGTTGAACTCAGATCCTCGGTCTTGGTACCTTAACCTGCTGAGCCATCTCACTGGCCCTCTCTGGGCTTTAGCATACAACTGCCTTCCTGCCTTTCAGCCTGGGCTCCTGTAAAACAGGCACATGCCACATCTCTAGAATCTTTCTGTCCTGGGGCAGGTATCACAAGAGTCCATACATGTAAGGAGTGTATACTATATGCCAAGCATTGTGTTAGTCAGGGATTTGGCATCAACTCACACTTAGCAGACCCTGTTGTTATGAGGATCATGTTCTGACAGGGAGCCAAGCAAAACAGAAGCAAACAACTAAAGAAGATGCCAGAGGGTGGCTCTGTTCTGAGCACAGGGCAATGCGTTGGGGGTGGAGGGGTCTACAGCTGGGCTCCTGTGTACAGAACTGGATTGTGGGTGACTGTGTATGACACAGTCTTCAGACAAGTGAACTGTGAGCTCCCCGACAAGCAGGTACAAGGTTCCCCAATCCCAAGAAGGCTCCTGAGACGTTTGGGTCATTCCACACTGAATGCATGTATGTGCCAAGTGTGAGGCTGTGTGTGTTTCTGTGTCTGGCATTACTCTGCGTGTGAGTCACACCCCCTCACTGCAGGAGCAGAGTTGTCTCTGATCCAATTATGTCTGCTCAGCTGTCTCCTGGCAGCTCCTGCCCCTGGTGCAGCTCTGGCTCTGCCATGGCCTCCCTTCCTGATTCTTTGTCTGCCTCTGGCCTGGCTCTGGGTTTCCCTTTTCCGACCCTGTTTCTGTCCTTTTCTCCCTGTCTGGTAGCTGCCTGTGTCTCTGATGACTCTACTTACCTCTTTTCCTCTCTCTCTTTTTTCTTTCCCTGTCTCAGTTTTTATTCATTTAGCAAACCTCTTCGTTTGCTATCTACCTACTCTGCCAGCTATTGTGTTGGGGATTTGGGGGGGGATGAAACCTGGGCCCTCCTCTCCAGAGCCTACAGGCCTGGTGGAGGGACAAGGACAGCCTCTAAGGAGTGCTGGGACAGCCTTGGGCTGAGACCAGTGCCTGACAGACAGACTGGGGATGGGAGAGGGGAGAGGCAGATTCTGGAGGTCTGTGAGGAGTTCCTGGATGGGGCAGGTGTGCACACTGAGGCTGAGGAAGAAGGGAGGCAGGACAGTTGGATTTGATCCCGAAGCCAGGGGAAGCAGCTTTCAAGCTTGGCAGTGCCATTCAATTCCAGGGTTCAGAAAACTCCCTGGCTTCAGGGGAACCAACTGACTTGGAAACCTGGAGACTTGAAAGGAGGTTGAGGCTGCAGAGGCCAAGCAGTGATGGTGGGGGCAAAGAGGACTTGCCAGGATAGTCCAGCGCCAAGCTCAGGTTCCAGGCACTGAAGGGAAGCAGGCGATTTGGACAGCAGTTAGCTAGTGCAGGGCATGGGGAACCCAGTGGCCTGTGGGCTGTCTGGGGCTCATTGCCCAGAAGGCTACTGAGGAAGCTGTCTGGTGCTTGCTAGACCTTTAGGGATCATCATCCATGGTGGCCCTGACCCCCAGGGAGTGTTTGTCTTTATCTCCGTGTCCAGTAGCAGCCTATCCTGTCTTGTCTCACTTTCCTGGGTGCCCCCATTCCATTTCTTCTACCTCCCCATTATACCTCTTTCCCAGCTCTTCTTCCTTCATCTGTCTCCCCCCTGTCCTCAGAGTAGGAGTGGGAAGGCAGAAGGACAGAATAGGAGGTTATCCTCTGCAGCCTTCATCCCTGATTAGAGCTGGGCCTACTGCTGAAGCAGGGGATAGGGGGTGGTGTCCAGAGAAGCTGCTGGAGACCAGTGGGAGGAAGGGCACCAGGCAGAGCAGGGATGAGTCACCCAGCCCTGGATGGAGAGCAGCAGAGAA